AGCATATTGAGATTAATTTTAGTCTCATGGGTACCATTTCCTAAGATGCTTGGACTAACAGCAATTTGTTCTAGAGAAGAGAATATGTGTCAAAGCCAAGTAGCACAGTTCAATAAGTTTTTCCACATATATGTATTTTGAAATTGGATAAATGTTTCTAATAAACATAATGTCTATCATTTGTATTAATAATAACTTTCTTTATAAGTAACATAAAATTCATTCAACCAAGACATGTCAGACACTGTGCTAGATTTAGGAGTATTCAAAAATAAATAAAACAAAGTTCTTGCCTGGAGCTCCAGTTTAGTAGGAAAGAGACAAGTAAGGCATAATTACAATAAAGGTAATGGGGCTCTAATAGAGATATGAACAAAAAACTCATATCATGGGAGAATGAGTTTTTCTACTAGTAGACATAAAGAAAGATCACATATTTCACTATCACACACACAAAAACATAATAGCATATGAGAATGGGTGATTGAGGTCAGTAATAAAAATGGCTATTCCTATATGATGGTTTTTGACATTTTGTAAAATATTTATGTATTATAAAATGGATGGGCCACCTTTAATTATCATTTAATATCATCATTCATGATATTTGTAAGCAACTTAAAAGCAGGAATCATGTATTTCATCGTTTTCTTTCTTTTTTTTTTTTTTTTTTGACAGAGTTAGTGAGAGAGAGAGACAGAGAGAAAGGTCTTCCTTCTGTTGGTTTACCCTCTAAATGGCCGCTATGGCTGGCGCACTGTGCCAATCCGAAGCCAGGAACCAGGTGCCTCTTCCTGGTCTCCCATGCGGGTGCAGGGCCCAAGCACTTGGGCCATCCTCCACTGCCTTCCCAGGCCACAGCAGAGAGCTGCACTGGAAGAGGAGTAACCAGGACTAGAACCTGGGGTGCTGGCACCGCAGGTGGAGGATTAGCCTATTGAGCTGCGGTGCCGGCCTCACCGTTGTATTTCAAGACCCAACACAGTACCTTTTATATGAGTCTAGTATTTTAAACATGTTGAATTAATGAATACATGCACATACTCATGAATGTTGATAATTATACAAATAGCACACTTCTGAGTTCACAAATATTAGATTAAGTGGGAAAGGCAATACTTGAAAAGAAAACTTGATAAGCAGTATATCAAAACGGTTCAGTAAACAAGGAGAAACAAAATTTAATAGTGAAATGTACCGACAGCACCTGTCCATAGCAGACATGTCTGCTTCACTTTTTCTTAGTCCTCCAGGTATATAATTACAACTACATGAAGACATTAGGCAAATACTTGCTTAATCAATATTTCTACCCCCAAATTACACCTCTGAGATCTAATTCCTTTCTATTAGCCAGAACTTAAGAGTTTTCTATGTATTTCTACTTTCTTCCTCTTCCAAAGTAGTTTTGATTACCAAATTACTTCCCTTAAAATACTTTGATCATGTAATTTTAATTTTCAGATTTTCTAAATGGCTCCTTAGTATTTCAGCACACTTAATTTAAATATAAAGAAATAAAGAAAGGAAGGAAGGAAAACACAGAGAGTGTAGAGTACAGCAGCCTGGCCCTGGCACACAGCTTATGCTCCATGGCTACAAAGCAACTAGGCTATACTGGGAAAATTAGTAATCCATGTTTTAAAATGTGGCTAGATCAATACACAAAAATCAAGTTGTTATGTATTAAAAGACTTAAATGTGAAAGAAAATAAAGGATACTCTATAAAAATCATCTCTGCTCAGATCTTTTAAGTCTCCCAGCTGTTGTTTACTAGTAGGTTTCTTTTTTTTTTTTTTGACAGGCAGAGTGGACAGTGAGAGAGAGAGACAGAGAGAGAAAGGTCTTCCTTTTTGCCGTTGGTTCACCCTCCAATGGCCGCCGCTGCAGCCGGCGCACCGCGCTGATCCGATGGCAGGATCCAGGATCCAGGTGCTTTTCCTGGTCTCCCATGGGGTGCAGGGCCCAAGCACCTGGGCCATCCTCCACTGCACTCCCTGGCCATAGCAGAGAGCTGGCCTGGAAGAGGGGCAACCGGGAACTAGTAGGTTTCTTATAGCCCCACCCTATCCAAGCACAGTTCAGGAATCTGCTAATGACTTCAGAGGAATTTGTATTCAGATTTTGAATTCTTTTTCTGCACTTCCCTTCTCTCTAGGATTTTGCCCTTCAAGTTCCAGCTACTAGTCTTAACAAATTCTACCTTGGTTTCTTCAGGCTAGTAAGATTGCTGCTTCCTGTTGGGGCTGTACTCTTTTGCATTCCAATTTGTAAAATGCCTTACAGGAAAAAAGCCAGGAGCATGTGGTGCTCATGTCGCATGCTTCCCTTCCCTGAACGACTGCAGTTGTGTAACTTTGCCTATGTTAATTGTTCTCAATACCGTCAAACAGTGCAAGTGTTTTCTTCAGTTTTTATGGATTGCTTTGGTACAGATGGGTTAATCTGAAATAAGCAGTCATGGCCAGAACTGATATTTAGTCATGAAAGTCTCCGGTTAGAGACTGATTCCTTCTTTTTTATCTTTATCCTTTTTGCTTATTTGTTTTTTTATATCTTTATCCCATTAGTAATTTTTTTTAACGTTTATTTTTATTTGTTTGGAAGTCAGATAGGGAAAGAGAGGGGGAAGGAAAGGAACAAGCGATGAGAGGCAAAAAGGGAGGAGAGAGTGAGAGGCGGTATCTTCCGCCTTCTGGTTCACTCCCCAAATGTCCACAACAGTCACAGCTAGGCCAGGAGCCAAGAACTCCATCTGGGTTTCCACATTGGTGGGAGGGACCCAAGTACTTGAGCTGTCATCTGCTACGTTCTTGGGTGCCCATAACAGGAATTTGGATCAGAAGCTGAGCCTAGAAAGGGTACCAGGCACTCAGTATGTGAGGTGGGCATCCCAAAGGGAGACTTAACCTCCTGGGCCACAATAGCTGCCCCTATCATACCATTATTGGTTATTTTATACCACGTCTCTAATGATGCTAATATTTGATTTTTTTTGGAACTTAATCTGTTTGCTGCTTCTGCTCTCACTCATAACAGATTGCTTCGTACGTGTTTGACGATCTTTCATTGTAAGATCATATTTGTTTCAATTTAACATGAGAAAATCCTGGAAGCTTAAGGTGAAGATGTCAAAAGAGAATCTGTGTTGGTGTATGCTCAGGGGCAAGTATGTTACAAATCTGGGGTATAACATCCCCAACTGTTCTTTGAAAAGTATGTTCAGATCATTCATCATCTTATTTCTACCTGGTCTAAACCATCTCTGATTTCTGATTTCTTAATATTGGTGTTTAATATGAAGCACAAAACCAAACATAATACCCAGGCTTGTCAGTGCAGAGCAGAATACTAAAGATTATTTTCTTTGTTCTGGAAATTCTACTAGTCCTAGTCTAGCCTAAAGACACATTACTCTTCTTGGTAATTATGTAAAAATACCAGCAACACAGAACAGAAGGAAATGCATAATTATCAGCTATTAGAAAGAACATGAGACATATTATTTAGGAAATCAACTGTCAATTCTAACATATAAATCACATTGCTATTTATCCTTTGACTATGAAAAATCATAATTAAAATCAAAATAGAAACAAAAGGCAAAAGAAAACAATGCATCATATATTATGAAGAGACTTAGGGCTGACATGTCTCTCTGCCTATATACTCTCCTTCTTTCAACCATTTTGGTCACATTACATTTCTACAAAGATGTCATACCATTGGGTCATCAACATACATCCTTATTTTCCCCCGCATCTACATTTCAAAGTGACTTTTATACTTGAATGAATCACAACAACAACAAAAAAACAGGATATAAAATTCTTAATATTCGGGCTACTTATATCTGAACTGTTTACTTTTTCATGATAACAAATTAATGCAGCTCCATTTCCTGAATGAATAGTTTTATCAGTTGACAAGCCTAGGTGAGAGGTTAAAAAATACCTAAGCAGTAGTTAAAACTGAGATAGAAAATGAGGGAGATTTTATAAAAAGTAATATAATGAGAAGCAAATTCAAGAGAAGTAACTCTGGAAATAACATGACAGATCTAACTGATAAGAGCATATAACTAGCATATTCAGTAGTACATCTTAATGTCAGCCTCTTTTCTGCATTCAACTAATGAAAAGGTATTTTTCTCACCCCTCAATTAATCAGCTATATCTGCTTCACGTTTTAAATGAGAAATAACTCTAATAATTTCTGCTGAATCCAATGTATGTCCACTGCTTTTTAGTCAAAAAATACATAAGTTTAAAATTATAAAAAGAAAAATATCATGCACTGGAAATATATTTTATTGGCCAAAATGTATTGAGAGAAAAATAGCTTTTAGGTAAATCTTTAAATAGATTTGGAAGCTTCCCATTTTATCTTTTGCATGTGTTTAATTTTAAAAAATCTGACCTCCTGACAATCCCTTTAAAAACCAGAAATGACTGATACTGGTAATATAATTTGAGTTTTTAAATAGTTGAAAAACACATTGGTAAAATTTTATTTTTGTCCTATAATACCATATATTTCAAAGAGGTTGCAAGTTTTTATTGTAGAAGTAATATTCATTTAGGAAAAACATTTAAACATTGAAGAGTACTAAAATTCATATATATTATCAATATTTAAACCTAACAACTATTAAAATATTTTTGCATGTATTTCTTTTTGGTCTTTATTTTTTCTTCAAACATAAATAGATTTGTAATATAGTCATATTACACATATAATTTTGATCTCTTTTTTCTTAGCAAACCTTAGATCAAAGAAAGAATTTCATTATTTGAGGAAACTAGGTAAATGAATGTGGCTATTGATGGTTACCTGTGTTTTTTCTCTGCAGTTTATATACTGCTTTTAGAAAAATCATATGAAACTTAAAAATCATGTATTTGTGATTTCCTTATCATCTGTTCACTGTAGAGTTCCATTAATCAACTAATAAATACCACACAAAACAGTAAATGTTTATGGTAATTTTACTTCTCACCTTTTGAGCAGCAAGATGGAGGGCAGTTCTCTGGCTATGGTCAGTTTTGTTGACATCTGCTCCTGCCTTCAGGAGAGCATCTGCACAATCCAATCTGTCAGCCAATACACAATACATAAGTGGTGTTCTGCCAAATTGATCTTCTTTGTCTTTAAGAGCAGAGTTTCCTATAAGAAACAGATAATGATTATTTAATAATTGTTGTTGTTATTACCAACATAAGCAGGAACTACATTTGTACCCTTAACCTCAGGTGTTTAGTCCCCAAGGTCTTGTGGTACTGAGAGTGGACAATTAATCCAATTATGATGTTTAGAGGTAGGGGCCTAGAGAGTGATTAGAGTGGAGTAGAGCATGTGGGTAGGACCCCATGATAGAGTCACGGTGGATTTATGAGAGACCACATAGACATGGACAGATATGCACGTTCCTTGTCTCTTGCCATGCCATGCTCTGCACTGCTCCATGACTCTGCCAGTAAGAAAGTTGCTTCCAGATGATGCCTCTAGGTTTTGTGCCTCGACTCTGTGAGTTGAAAATAAACCTTTTTTGTTATAAAATTGCCTGCATCAGGTACCTTGTTATAGTAACAAAAAACTGATATACTAGGTAAATTATCAAGCACTGTGCTAAATGAATTAAATGCATTATCCATTTTTACTGATATGAGATTGATATTAACATTCCTGTATTACAGGACACAGAGACTCAGACAAGTAACATGTTCACATTCACAGAGAAAACAGGTTGTGGAGTTAGACTGCAAACTGATTAGTGACTACAAAAGCCATATTATTAATTATTATGTAAGCCTAAGTAAACATTTTGAGATACAGGGTTAGTTATGTTCCTCTGTCACTCCTTTCTTTTATCAACAAATACTTCTTTACTGTTGACCATACACTAAGGATTATGGTATGTTTTTATGAATAATGCAAAAATGTGTCATAGTAATTTTCCCATTCTAGATGGAGTAAATACACAGTACCTGATTTTCTTTCTAAATTTTTATTAATATAATGAGAACCAATGTTATGCATTTCAAAGATAATAATTCTAAGAAGATAACCATACTTTCCTTCTTCCCTTCTTTCTTTAATCTCCCCTCATTCTTTCCTTTCTTTTATATCCTTTAATTTTTGCAATGGGGGTAGTGATATGGTATACCAAGTTAAGCTGGCACCTGTAATGCCTCCATCGCATAAGGGCATTAGGTCAAGTCTGGCTGTTCCACTTCCAATCTAGCTCCCTGGGTCTGGGAAAGTAGCAGTATTATTCATTAGAGTCCCAAAATGGAAAAATGCAAATTTTCATAAACTGATGAATAGATAAGCAAATGTTATATACCTCTACCTATAATGAAATATTATTCAGGAAAAAGAATAAAGGTCTAATAACGCTACACATGGATGAATCTTGGTGTCATTATGCTAAGAGAAAGAGGTCATCAAAACTACCACATTGGCCGGCGCTGCGGCTCAATAGGCTAATCCTCCACCTGCAGTGCCGGCACACAGGGTTCTAGTCCCGGTCGGAGCACCGGTTTCTGTCCCGGTCACCCCTCTTCCAAGCCAGCTCTCTGCTGTGGCCCTGGAGTGCAGTGGAGGATGGCCTTTGGCCCTGCACCTGCATGGGAGACCAGGAGAAGCATCTGGCTCCTGGCTTCAGATCAGCGTGGTGCGCCGGCCACAGCGCGCTGACCGCAGCGGCAATTAGGGGGTGAACCAACGGAAAAGAAAGACCTTTTTCTCTGTCTCTCTCTCTCACTGTCCACTCTGCCTGTCAAAAACAAAAACAAAAACAAAAACAAAAAAAAAAAACAAAACTACCACATATTGTATGACTCTGTTTTTAGAAATGTCTGGCACAGGCACATCTACAGAGACAGGAAGCAGATTAGTGGTTGCCTACAACTGTGGGTGGGAACAGATTTGAAGAGTGGCAGATCAGAGGTCTAGAGTTTCTTTTTTGGGGGGAAATGATTGTAATGATATTTATACAACTTTGTGAATATATAAAATTATTGAATTGTACACTTTAAATTAGTGAATTGTATGGTATGTAAATTCCATCTCAGTAAAGCTGGTATAAAAGCTCCACTATATATAAATTAAAATAGAATTCTAAAAATGTGCAAGAATGAAAAATAAGATATTAAAGGAGAAACAGGAATGAAAAACAGAAGGAACTCACAGTGATGACATAATAAATCATAAATCTTAGATCCCAACATCCATAATTATATTAAATATAAATGTTGTAAACATATCAATAAAAACTCCAAGATGGATTAAAAAAAGGAAGGGTCCTTAACTATATGCTATTTATAAGAAACTTACTTGAAATATATTAACATAGGTGGCTAAAGGTAAAAGACTGAACAAAGATACAACATGCAAACACTAAAGGAAAACTGGAGCTCTTCCTGTAAGTGGCCTTAGGTGATCTGCAAAAATGGTTCACTACTCACTTGACCCAGAAAACCCCATAAAATCATGCAAATCAAGAGTTTCAAATCTTCATATTCACTTTAAGAATACCCAAGAAACTGCCCAGACATTAAGGATATGCATATCCAAAAAGCCACCAAATACTAACTGTCACACTAAAGAAGCAATGTGTGCCATTCTGTTGGTACAATGCTGGAGTTGGTAGGCATGCCAGGCCAAGCAGTGGGGTTGGACACAGGGTCGGTGGTCCAAAAAAAGTGTCGAGTTTCTGTTGCACTTGTTTGAAAATGCAGACAGTAACGCTGAGCTGAAGGGTCTAGAGGTAGATTCTCTGGTCACTGAGCACATCCAGGTACACAAAGCTCCCAAGATGTGTTGTGGTCCCTACAGAGCCCACGGTCGGATTAACCCACACAAGCTCCCTGTGCCACATCAAGATGATCCTCACTGAAAAGGGACAAATTGTTGGCCGGCGCCATGGCTCACTTGGCTAATCCTCTGCCTGCAGCGCTGTCACCCTGGGTTCTAGTCCCGGTCGGGGCGCTGGATTCTGTCCCAGTTGCTCCTCTTCCAATCCAGCTCTCTGCTGTGGCCCGGGAAGGCAGTGGAGGATGGCCCAAGTGCTTGGGCCCTGCACCCGCATGGGAGACCAGGAAGAAGCACCTGGCTCCTGGCTCCTGGCTTCCGGCCGTAGTGGCCATTTAGGGGATGAACCAATGGAAAAGGAAGACTTTTCTAACTCTGCCTGTCAAAAAAAAAAAAAGGAACAAATTGTTCCTAAACCAGAAGAGGAGGTGGCTCCTAACTCCTGGTTTCAAACTGGCAAAGCCCTGGCCATTGTGACCATTTGGAGAATGAACCAGTGGATGGAAGATCAATCAATCTCAATCTCTCTCTCTCTCTCTCTCTCTCTCTCTCTTCCTCTCTTCCTCTCTTCCTCTCTCTGTGTAACTCAGACTTTCAAGTAAATAAATAAATCTTCAAACAAAAAACAACAAAACCAAATGTGTTGAAAAATTTCCAGAAGCAATTTCTGTATAAATGGACACCTGGTCTTAAAACTGTTGAGAAAGCAAGAGAAGAAAATGTTTTTGAGAAAAGAATAAAGTTGGAGGATTCATACTGTATGCTTTCAAGACATATTGTAAAGCTATAGTACAGTAATGAAGACAATGTGATACCAACAAAGAAACAGATACATAGATCAGTTGAACACATTTGAGTATAGGAACAGATCAACATATATGTATGATCAGCTGATTTTAATATAGGTGCTATGGCAAATCAATAGCTAGACTGTCTTTAAAACAAATGATACTGAGGTCCGGTGCTGTGGCATAGCAGTTAAAGCTGCCACTTGCAGTGCCAGCATCCCATATAGCTGCCAGTTTGAGTCCCAGCTGCTTCACTTACACTGCTCCACTTCCAATCAGGCTCTGTGCTATGCTTTGGGAAAGCAATAGAAGATGGTCCAAGTCCTTGGGCCCCTGCACCCACATGGGAGACCTGGAAGAAGCTCCTGGCTTCTGGTCTCAGATTGGCCTAGCTCTGGCTGTTGTGGTCATTTGGTGATTGAACCAGCAGATGGAAGACTTTTCTCTCTCTCTCTCCCTGTCTCTTTTCTCTGTAACTCTGCCTTTGTAATAAATGAATAAATCTTTTAAAAAATGATGCTGGAAAATTTTAAGATTCATGTACTAAATGAAAAAATAAACCCAAACCCCTCAATTTATATTTTGCATCTGTCTTCGTTCTGGCTGCTAAAATAAAGTACCACTGATTTACAAATACCAGAAATGTATTTCTCACAGTTCTGGAGGCTGTACATTTGAGATCAGGGTACCAGCATGATCAGGTTCCAGTGAGGACCTGCTTCCACGTTGCAGACTGCCAACTTTTGGTTCTATCCTCCCATGGTGGAAAAAGAGGAACCAGGAAGCTTTCTGGGGTGCTTTTTATAAGACACTAATCTAATTTAGTGGGGTTCAATCCTCATGACCTATACTACATTCCTAAGGCCCAACCTCCTTCTATTACCACAGTAGGGATAGGAATCCAAGATAGGAATGGGGGAGGGGGACAAACATTCAGTTTATAATAGCACTATATTCATATATAAAAATTACCTTACGGGGGTTATAAAATTAAATGTGAAACCTGTCAACTATCTAAAGCTTTTATAAGCAAAAGAAAGTGAAAATCTTTGTGACCTTGGGTTAGTTCAAGATTTCTTGGATATGATGCCAAATAACAATCTATAAAAAATATAATAAACTTGATATTATCCATATTAAAAAAATTGAAAAACATTGTTAAGAAAATAAAAAGATAAACCACAAACTGGGAGAAAATATTTCCAAACCACATATCTGATAAAGCCTTCTATTTTGAATAAGTAAGGAATTTATAAAATGGAATAAAAAGGCAAACAATAATAAAAGGACATACAATGAAATTAAAAGATGGGCAAAAGATTTGAATAGACATTTCATCAAATAAGCATGTGAGGTAGGTAAATAACTCTGCCTTGTAGTACAGAACTTTAGGCCGATGGCTAACCTCTTTCCACATCTGCAGTAAGATACATGGAAACTCCAAGTCTTCAATCCCTGGCATACTTTTTTTTTACGTAACTGGCATTTATATTGTCCCAAAGAGAAGATTTCATTGAGTTATGTCACTACCATTCAATCTATTGTACATATAACACAAAGTTT